TTATAAAGTAGAAATTTTTTTACACTAGTTTTATATGTTGATAGCCAACTTCTATAAATATAAAATAAACATTTTAAAAATAAGATTATATTACCGAGTGGTATTCTTGATGTGTAAAAATTGTTGGAGTGTTGTTAAAGGGCTCATTTTGAGCCGATTTTTAAAAACGGCTAACTCAATATTTTAGCCAGTAAAATATTGCCTAGGCCTCGAGTTTTCGCTAATAGATGTCTAAACCTTTGTTCCTTTTACAAAAAAATATTCAGGCTTGCGTAATTGTATTATGGATAAAATATTAAGTTAAAAACGAGCCATTTAACAAGAATATTCTGTAATGCTTTGAGAATTGCATATCTATTAACACCGTTGGAATACACGTCAAGCAGGTCTAAGATTCCTAAAATATTTCTTAGTTCTTTTATCAATTAGAATAATTGAACAAGATTTAATCGAAGAAAAAGCACCAAATAAAAGTTGCCTTTGAAATCTCAGCTCTAATAAATGCCTGTACTCCTATGACCCTTCCATTCATGCTTAGAACATCCTCATAGCTTTGCCCAAAAAAAGATTTGAGGGGTAGATTCATTAAGCTTGCGTATTATATTTTTTTTAATATCAAGACTAGTCGGCTACCATTTTCAATATATCTTACTAACAAAGCTATTGCTTCTGATTTCCAAACATCATATGTACACAACTATAATTAAAAAATACCTGTTAAATTCAATCTCTTTTTTAATTTTTTATAACCATATTTTTCATGGTTTCTATGAGAATATATTATTATACAACAATAGATTAGAATACGATTATTTTTTTGAAAATACAATTTGAGGGCAGGTTCCGAATCTGCAATTAGTTTAATAATGGCTTTAAAAGCTACTATTTCAAAGCTTTTCTTTATATCCTTAAAATTTAGCTCACCATGTCTTTTCTAATATGGTCTTTTCATTTATCATCTCTTATACTAGGCCGTATGCAATTCAATTATTAATTAAGCATTTATATTTGCCGTATTCAATTTAAGCATTTGTATTTTTTTGGTTAATTTTTTGAGCATATTTTAAAATTGGAAAAATAATTTTATATGACAAGAAATCTTTTGGTTATGTATGGGTGTGGTAAAAAAAAATTAAATAAAATTTGAAAAAAATTTGTTTTTTTTAAAAAAAAGTTACTCCTATACAAATTTTAAGAGGTTGCTTCAATCCCCCCCTCCTCTATATAGGCCACTGCTATATATCAAACCTTCCCTTTTTTGAATATCAGTAAGTTTTTATGTACAATTAAATGGTATAAAACAGGACTCTTTGATAGTTTTTTTAATATTCATAGGAATTTTACCAAATTTATTCCTACATTTTAATTTTTTACTTATTTATTATATAGTTCAATGCGTTAGAAGTACCCCAATATATTTCGCCGAACGTATCCACAAAGCGATTAAGGTATTTGCATTGGGCTCATTTTTAAAGATATATTTAGTATTATAGTATTTTTAATTGTAAACTATCCTACTGTCAATAAAATATTTTTACATAAATGAAATTAATAACTTTAGATTTGGTATGGTATATTTGCTCTATTAAATATTCATTCTTTAACATCAAAATACTATAAAACTGAATATTGAGTGACTGACCTGTACTATTACAAATTAGAAGCAAATATTAATGGCATCTATTAGTGTTTGCAGTAGCGGTTGGATCGACCATCTTGTTCAGGCAAGACTGGTCACCTGGATATCGGGTCTCTGATATAACGATACGGTCTGACCGAAGACCAATTAGATAGATAAAAATTAACTTGAATTACTTTTTAATTAATTTTCATTTAGTCTATTAGACCCCAGAATTGAAAAGGTTTTAATTTCCTAATTCTTTAAAACGTATTATAAAATGTTTTTTATTTAGTTCACATTTATTAAATACCCCTGAAAATTTTAAATATGTTAGCACTTTATAAAGTTGCATAAAGGGTAACAAAATATATAAAGATATTTATTTAAATATATATCAATATATTTATGTGTATTAAATTGTTGTTTTTGTTATTTTTTGTAAAATGTTTATTTTATTATTATTATATAATTTTATATTAATTTGAATAATAAATCAGGATTATAATTTTGTATACGAAATAAAAGAATAAAAGAATAAAGAGAATTCGATAATTTACTACAAAACTACATTACAAAAATGGCGCAGTCGATAAAAAGTCTAACGGATTCAAACCTGTGTTACAATGATTGGTACAACTTATTTCAAGAATTTAAAAACACACAACCAAGTTTAACATCATCACAAGAAAAATCTCTGTTATTAACAACCATAGGGTGTGATGCTTACAAAATACTGGTAAATTTATGTGCACCTGATAGTCCGGGAAACAAAGAGGTATTAGAAATACATAATATTTTAATCAAACATTTTCATGCCAAACCTAATATAATAGTAGAGAGATATCATTTTTATCAATATAATCAACAAAATGATGAAAAACTAATAGACTATATATAAAATCTACGAAAATTAGCAACGACTTGTGATTTTGGGGAATATTTAAATACTGCATTAAGAGATAAATTTATATTCGGAATAAAAAATCCAAAAATTTTACAAAGATTACTATACGAAGACGATATAGACATAAATAAATCTATTCAGATAGCTACTGCAGTAGAAACAGCAATAAAAAATACAAAATGATCAAACTAAAATCGATCATTTAGAAGAGGAACATAATGATAATATAAATAAAATTAAAAAAGTTACTAATGATAATGATAAACAATCAAAATCATATAATAATTATAATGAGAGTTACAAAAAACCAAATCCATGCCACTCTTGCAGCGGAAACCACGGAAGGGAAAATTGTCTTTTCAAGAATGCCACTTGTTATAAATGCAAAAAAATTGGGCACATGGCTCGAGTCTGTGGAAAAGAAATAGTGATTTTTATTAATAATAAAACAAACGAATATAATCCAGAATTTGTGGATGTCAAAATAAAGAACAACTATATAAGAATGGAATTGGACACTGGAGCTAGGGTCATTATAATTAATGAAATAGATTGAAAAATAAACTTAATCCTGAATTAACAAATTGCATGCTAAAACTTAAAAGCTATACAGGAACCAATATACCACTATTAGGTCAGACTGTAGTAAAAGTACAATATAAAGGGCGAACATTAGAACTACCTTTCATAATTACAAAAGGATATACCAAAAATCTAATTGGAAAAAATTGGATAACTAAATTTCCTAAAATGACTAAATTACCTGAAACAAAATGAATTTCCTAAATTATTTACCAAAGAATTAGGCTGCTTGAAAGATTTTAAGGCACAAATATATATGAAAAACGAGAAACCAATTTTCTGTAAATCACGTCCTGTACCATGTTGAAGAAGATTTAGATAGATTGCAAAAAATAGGAGTAATAGAGAAAATTAATCAATCACTTTATGCATCACCCATAGTTGTTCAAAAGAAAGATAAAACATTAAGAATTCGCTGGGATTTTAAAAGAACTATAAATCAAAATATTAATATTGATTCATATCCAATACCAAGAATCCAAGATTTATTAGCCAATTTAGGAAAAGGAGAGGAACTTTCAATATTGGATCAGTCTCAAAAATATCTTGTAATCAATACGCATAGAGGATTATTTAAATATACAAGACTACCTTTTGGTATATCGTCTTCTCCAGCAATATTTCAACGAGCCATCGAGAATTTATTAAAAGGTTTTGAAGGAGTACTTTGTTATTTAGATGATATTATAATAACCGGGAAAAATAAAGAGAAACACGAAACAAATTTAAAAAAGATACTAAAATATCTAGATGAAAATGGAATCAAGCTAAAAATAGAAAAATGTATTTCAAACAAAATGTCGATTAGGGGAGACTGGGGTTAGTCGAACCAATTTTTACAAAATTGGCTATAGCTCCTTAATATAAAAAATAATATATGATTGGACACCTAAAACTATACTCTATAAAGATGCCTTATAAAAAATCTTAAGAATATAATCATTTTTTTTAAATTTTATTTTTTGTAAAAGTAAAAATTTTGTTCAACAAGCCCCAATAGCGGGGTAAGGAAAATAACTTCAAGGGTCTTCCTAAAATATTGGTTTTTTTAGGCCATAATAAATTGGCATTTTTATTTATTAATAAATACTGAGGCAGTAAAAAAAGCACCAGAACCAACAAATATACAGTCATTTCTAGGGTCAGCAACATACTATTCAAATTTATTTCAAATTTTGCAGCCAAAGCCAAACCATTATATAAATTATTAGAAAAAGCAGTTGTTTGGAGATGGATTAATGAATGCAAAGACGCGTATAATAAAATAAAGCAAGAAATAACGATATTACAACATTATGATCCAAAATTACCCATTTTATTAGTAACAGATGCATCAGCCATAGGAATTGGGGGCAGTAATATCACATATAGAAGGGGGTAAGGAGAGACCAATTGCATTCGCCTCAAGAACGCTAAATGCAGCTGAAAAAAATTATAACCAAATAGAAAGAGAAGCTCTGGCCATCATATTTGGGGTTACAAAATTCAAAGAATTTATATATGGAAAAAAGTTCACATTACAAACAGACCACAGGCCATTAATGAGTTTATTTCATCCAAGAAAAGATATACCAACAACATCTACTGCCAGAATATAAAGATGGGCTCTATTATTAGCAGGTTACCAATTTAGAATAGAAGTCAAAAGTAGTAGATAAATAGCTAATGCTGACATGCTATCTAGACTACCTCTAAAGGGAACTCCAATATTAAAAGAAAAAACGTTAGATAAAATACAGGTGGGAGAAACACCTTAAAATGCAAGCGAAATTGAAAGAGAAACAAGCGAGATGATATAGATGGATGGCCAATAAATTATGATGCATGTTTAAAGGTAGCCAAAGGAGAGAGGAAATTACAACAGAGAGAGGTTGTTTATTATGGAGAACTAAAATGATAATACCACAACAATACCGAAACAACGTGTTGGACATGATACATCAAGAACATATCGGAATGGTAAAAATGAAGATGAGAGCACTACAATATGCGTGATGGCCCTATATAAACCAAGATATAGAAACATGGGTCGAAAAATGTAGAGAATGCCAGGAACAACACGATATGCCTCAAAAGACAGCAGTTCAAAATTAGACAAAACCACCAAAAGCATGGCATCGAGTACATATTGATTATGCTGGACCATTTCAAAATCATTATTGGTTGGTAGTGATAGATGCTAGCAGTCGCTGGCCAGAAATAGATCCCATGACTAGCCCTACGACCGAAAGCACGATAAAAATATTAAGAAATATTTTTGCAAGATTCGGATTTCCCAAAATAATCGTTTTTGCAAAGATTTAAATGATTTTTGTGAAAAAAGCGGGATTCAGACAAACGGCATGGCCAAACGTTTAGTTCGAACTTTTAAACAGAGTATGAATAAACGAGAGGGATTTAGAAACCAATCTAGCTATTTTTCTCTACAATTACAGAAATACATCAGGGACAGAAACTAAACAAAGTCCCGCTAAAATACTACTATAATTTAAACTTAGAGGATTGTTAGATCAAATATTCAAAAGGGGGAACAAAAAGGAGAAGTTAGAATACAATCAAAAATTCCAGATAAATGAAAAAGTTTGGTCTCGCCTTTACAATAATAAAGAAAAAATATGGGAAGAAGCCATTATTAAAGGCATACTCGGATCACAACGTTAGGAAGTAAGTATAGCGGGTAATACGATTATACGTCATACGGACCAATTAAGGAAAAGAACCGAAAATATATTAATTGTAGAATACGAATTAGAAGAGAGAACTGAAATAGAAGAGAAAACCGAAGAGATAGTAATCAAAGAGGATGTAATAAAAAATAACGATGAAATGAATTCAATGGAGAGGGAGGAAGAAACAAGTCAAGATCAATATCCCAAAAGGATACGATTGAAACCAGATAGAGTGGTGATAAAATGTATTAAATTGTTGTTTTTGTTATTTTTTGTAAAATGTTTATTTTATTATTATTATATAATTTGATATTAATTTGAATAATAAATCAAGATTATAATTTTGTATACGAAATAAAAGAATAAAGAGAATTCGATAATTTACTACAAAACTACATAACAGAGAGAATAGCCAGGGATAGGCTCATGAGGACTGAGACATCAGAGGAAGCCGAGAGATGATATAAATGATATCTAAAGCTATTTATCTTATATTTATATCCAATTAATTCCGACATATTAGATTGGTGGGAAGGGAATCAATATCGATTTCCAAATCTAGTCAAAATAGCAATGGACTATCTCCCACCGCAGGCTACATCAGTAGCATGTGAACGGATCTTTTCTAAAGCTAGTGATAAAATATCAAAAAAATGATATAGAATGAATCCAAAGATGGTTCAATCTCTAATGACATTTGATTCATGGATAAAAATTGGAATATTTTTGATTTTTTGGAAGAAAATTATAATATTTTTATATAAATCTTTATTTTATAACCAAATATCTATCACATTATATATATCAAAAACCAACTAATATCCAAATTGATTTATATTATATTGAATAAATTTGATATTTGTTTAATATTATTTTGAAATATTAGGTAATTGTTTTGTATAATATAATAAAAATGATTTGTTGATGATATAATTAAAATAGTTACTAAATTTAATGCAGAATAAAACTTTTATATAACAAAATATAATATTTTAGATGGCAACGGATAGACCGGACTGGACCGACGGTTTCATGGTCTGGTCTCACCTGACTAAACGGTCCATCGGTCCAGTCCCATTTTAGAACAGAAAGACGTGACCTTGCAAACACTATCGCCTATAGTCAAAATATTTTCTTAAATTTATATTGCAAAATAACAGGGTCTAGGTACTAACGATAATGCCTTAATCCGAATTATGACTACTCGCAGTGAAGTCGACTTGGATTCAATTAAAAACGCATATTATTCTAAATACAATAAATTTATGGAAAAGTCTATCAGGGTTTATTTTTTCAAATGAATATTAATATTTATTATTCGATAATTTTTAAAACATGAAAATTAATTTGATCTATAGAAATTCTCATTCCCATTCCCATTTCACTTCAATATAATATTTTCTATTTTAAGTTGGGTTTGAAAGATTTTGGGTTAAAAAAAACTACATGTAATTTAAAACTTTATTTAAATTATAAAAAGGGAGTAAGGTTGTAATAAAACCAAAATGTTAGTTTAATAATCCCATTTAACAAATTTAAAAAGTGTCTTTGGAGAGATAATGTTAAAATGCGCTTAGGAGCCAGATTTAAATAAAGGTGTAATAATAATATGCAATATTAAAATATGATCTATTAATTTATAAGAACTAATTCTTATACAATATGTCTTAGTTAATTTTAATAGCGTATATATTAATTAATCATCGAAAAAAGAATTGTTTGAATACTATAAAAATATATATTTCTTTAACTTTCTATTTTTATAATATAGAGGGATGTTTCAGGAAAATTCCAAGCCTTATTAGTCGCTGTGATTAGAGGTAACAAGCAACCCATTGGGTGACGAACATTGGCCTTTTTATTTGGTTATTCAAATGAATACCGAATCTATTACTTCAAATTCATATGAAATATTATAACATTTTAGTCAAATATCATTAATAAATAGTAAGATGCATTTCATCTTCTGGGAGGGGAAAATGAAAGGCAAAAACAAAATAATATTTTGCTAGTGCTGTATAAATATTAATTTTAGTCTAGTTTTTAAATCAAATAAAACTATTAACATATAGATAGATCTCATTGAAATTTAAATTTTTATCTTCAGTCATATTTATAATTGTAAAATGAACAGCAATGTTATAATTGATAGCTGCAATAATTAGGAGTAATGAAAAATAAAATAAAGGCTTACTTTTAATTTACTATGTTGAAAGTCAAAAACAGAAGGGGGTCATGTTTTTTTTAATTACAGATATATAAAAGCCATTTGCATTCGATATTTAGAAAAACGAAATTTTATCTTTTTTGATCACATTTATGAAGATAAATTAGTTATATTTTTAGAAAACAAAAATTAAGAATATAATGAATTGCCAGAATTAAAAAAAATAAATAACACTACCCTTCAAGCGTTGGCACTATTTGAACATGACCGCGATTGCCATGCTCACCTATGCACATAATTTTGAGAGCCTCGAAGGGGTAGCCTGATGCAGGCATCCTCCTCTATTTCAAACGACTGTGTTTACTCAGGGTCCTTACAGCTGTGAACCGCTGGATGGTTAATAGCTATTTAGTGTTTATCAAAATAAAGCTTAAGAAACTGGCCAAGATCCAAAAATAATAAAAAAAACTTACAGAAAATTAATAAATCGAAAGAACCTGAAAATGAGGCAATTTGCAAAAAAAATCAAGAGCCTAAGAACAATATAAGACTTACAATGATCAATATATGACTTTCTTAAACACAAAACTATCAGAACAGTAATTGTAAAAATTTCATTTATTTTTCTTTAGCATAAAATTAATAAATTTTCAAAATTTAATAACAAAAAAATTAATCATGAAAAATCGTTTTTTATAAATTTGAGCATAAAATTGATAATTTTTATTATCATACAAAAAAATTTATTATCAGAAAAATTAATAATAATCAAAAATCACTTTATCAAAAAAAAAACGATCAAAAAAATTGATCATGAAAAAATCAAAGTTATTATTAAAATTTGATTGACATTTCAACTAAAAATAAAAAAAATTGCAAATTACAACAGTGTTTACATAAAATTAATAAAAGAAAAGCCAAATAAATTATACATATGGCAGTGTAAAACAAAAGGATATTTAATCCAATTTGCAGAATGATCTTTAGACTCACTACCACTAGAAACTCAATAATGCAATTTAGAGATCTGTTAAATAAAATTTTCTCGCTTCAAGCCTAGCAGTCAGGTGGCAAAAAATTATTTTGCTATCTAATATTCAGCAATATAATTAATGCTGCCGTTATAGTAGCTAAAAAGAAGCCCACTACAGTAGCGGCTATTTCTTTTGAGAATTAGGCGATTGTGGCGCTACTTTTATACAAAAAAGTACAATTAATAGCGCCACTATTGTTTAAATCCTATAGCCTCTTCTATTCATTCATATATTTGCAATTTAAATGAGATTTAAAATTTACATATTTTATATATGAAAAGGCAAAGCTAAGAGGATGATTCGAAAGTAAAATTAAATTGGTAGATGGGCCGAGGAGCTATTTATTTAATCGTCGCTAGTCTTACATTAAAAACAAAATCACTTGTCAAAATGGGAATATCTAGCGTTTATATTTTTTGATGATATTTCTGATGAGGATATAATCATTATCATGATATAATTAATTTTATGAGATCATCAATATCAGGTCTTACTATATTTAAGGAGTTTTCTTTTTTGAAATCTCTGAGAAGGTGGTTGTCATCATGCCGGATTAGATGGCAAAGTGCAAGCAGGCAGTAGCGTACGCAGGAATTTGGTGTGGGGGGGGGGATAATTAAAATTTTTTTAAATAAAATTATTGTTATTTATAAATATCAAGCATAAATTTATTAGGACTAATAACTATTTCTAATATACAAATTTAAATTAATATGAATTATAAAAAATTAAATATATAAACCGATTTATAAAAATAAATTTGATTTACAAAAATATTAAACGAATATAACCGGCGGCATATAAATACTTTAAATAAATCTGAATTATAAAATATTAAGTGGATATAACCAGGATATGATGACTATAAAATAAATAATCCATAATAGAAATTTAAATTTTTTTGAGCTTTTAAAATTTATATATAAAGTATAAAAAATCTAAATGTTGGAAATATGAATAATTATATTTTTTATGTAAAAGAAAAATATATAAGACATTAAAAAATGATAGCACAAAAAATATTATAGAAACATTATATTTTTATAATGTAAAATCCAATCTTCGTTGGGAGGGAGCTAATTTTTCAATTATCTCTCCATGTTTGGCGTCAAATGCCTATGAATATTCAAAAGGGCCATTCAACCTACTTTCAGAAGTTGTACTTCTTATGTGCGTTTTTAATCTTCTTAAAGAAGAGAATGTTCTCTCATTAGTTGCAGTACTAATGGGAAGAGTTGCTAATATATATAAAAATTTCAATATATTGGCAAAATAATCTAAAAGATGTATGAAATGATGCAAAGCATCATAGCATTTTTTGGGACTATATCACCATAGTTAATCTTTTATACCATAGTTGGCATTCAGCTAATAAAGCATCATGAGATACATTAATGTCTTCATGATAAAAATCTTCCAAATATTTTATTTTTTTTCTAACACCAGAAATCAGAGGGCTTTTACGGAAGTAATATCTGCAGATTGATAAGTGTTTCTTGATAAATTAAAAACCTTTCATTTACTTGGGTTATAAATGTATCCAAAAGAGGTATAAAGACATTTATTTTATAATATTCTTCTATTGACCCTATATTAATATTTGGACGATAAGTTTGCCTTACTGTAAGTCGAGGGAGACAAATATCGAACTCGTATAGCTCTGCTTTTGATTCAACATTAACATATAAAATATGAAATTCCTCATCAGCATTAGCTCTAATTTCTTTGAGTTCTAATAAAATTGTCTCTGCTATTCTCATCATCTCAATCAAATCAATATCAGGTTTTTGAAAAGTATTACATAAAATAGTTGTATAATTAAATAATTTATTAATACATTCTAATGCGAAAAAAATATTTGGTATAAGTATTGAATCCAGTAACTTGCTTGCTTCTGAAGAAATATCTTTTTCAGACATTGTGATATTTCTATAAGAGCATTAATAATCGGCTCTTCTAACTCGATAAAAGCTGTTACTGCTTGATGTCGAAGACTCCATCTTGTTGGACAAGCTTTTAGCAATTTTTTTCTCCTTGTTGGGCAAGGAGTTTCAGATATAATTCTGTTCAAAATATTTTGACGCTTGGAGTATCTAAACATCTCATAGATGCTAGATATTTTACCTGATATAAATATAAAAAATTTAATTTAATAATTAAAAACCTAAGCAATTTGATATCAATGGTAAAGAACATGAATCCGATATTGCTAAGTTGAGTGAATGGGCAGCACAGTGGACATATATAGCTGTTGGGCATTTTTTTTTAATAAATGCCTGAAGCCCATTGAATTGTCCACTCATTGCACGTGCTCAATCATACTCTTGCCCACATATCATATTTATATTTAGCTATATTTTTTAAAATAATTATATAATAAGATTAATTATTACTTTTAATTTTTTAAGATTCACAAATATTACATCAGCTAAAGCAGACCCAGTCATGCTTGAAACAGGAATAAATTGGAGAAACATTTCCTTGATAATGTTTTTATGAGTATCTACATATCGCGCACACAACGACATCTGCTCAATGCCAGCAATGTCCGTGGTCTCATCTGCCAAAATTGAGAAGCATGGGGCAGAATTGATTTCAACAATTAATTTTTCTAAAATGATATTGTTGCAAATATCAATTATCTCATTTTATATCCTAGGGCTGAGATAAGTAGCATTTTTATTGGTACTAATGAGGCTCTCCATTAATACAGGATCTCCTAATGCTTTAAATTTTAAAAGTCCACGGAAATTACCTTCGTTATCATTATTATTAAAATTTAAGCTTCCTGAATCCTTGTGGCCACGAAGTGCTAGGCCTTGCAAGCCACAATATAAAATAGCCTCAATAGTTAGTTTTATATTGCCTCTATTTTCTTTTGCAATTTTAACCCTATTTTTATCAATTTATGATGAAATGGGAATCATATCCCCCTTTTGAATTGATTCTTTTGAGGAAATCATCAGTTCACAGCTTTTGTTTATTAAATTATCATACTATACTATAACAAGCCATATTCCATAACATAAAACAAACCATATTTCATAACAAGACGATCCAAATTTATTCATTAAATAAAACAACAATCTAATATATAATATGTAGAAAAAATATAATATAATAAATCATAATTATCCAATTCTTCATTTCCCAAAGGTCCACAGCTGACATCTTCTACCATTAATCCAATATCTCCCAATCTCCAACTAGGGGTTTTTTTTAACAATCAAACGCCCCGTGATCATCATCTCCCCTTCTTTCCCAAAGGAAAACTTTATTCCCCTGTCAGAAAATAACTGACATTTTATGTATTATATTAAATTTATTTCTTCTTTTCTCAACAATTACAACACGCCCACCCTTCACAAGCCCAGCGTCCCTCTCTCTGTGGTGGTGTTGTATCGAATAACCTCTTTGAATTGTATCGAATCACCTTTTTGAATTGTATCGAGACGCCTTGAAGACGTTCAGGGAATTTGTCGAATCGTCTTCCCTTATGATGATTTATAATATCTCCGATTCATTTCAATATATAATCGCGAAAACACATATTATCAATAATGACATGTACATTGGGGTATCTGTATTTATAATCTATGGAACATAAATATGGACAATGTAATATCCGCAAAACATAATAAT